AGAGGGAGGTGGGGGGGGGGGGGGGGGGGGGGGGGGGGGCGGGGAAACAGGATTTTTTGAAAACATGTATTTGATCTTTAGAAAGCCATGTGGCATTTTTCTTCTGTAAAAATAATTTCCTCATTGCTTAATTCCCATCCACTAGTCTCTGCATGAATTAAGGGCAAGTGCAGGATATCCAACTGACACCTTTTTGGAGAATGCTTATCTTTTTACCACTAATAATAGTAGCGGTAGTAATAATAATAATGATATCATACCTGCATTACAATGTAATCCATTAGACAGAAAGTCAAAAATAGATTGGGCCCATGTCTGTAGGTTCGTGGGCATTGTTCTATGCTGCTTTCCAAGGAACAAAATAGCTAAAAAAAAAAAAAAAACAGAAGAGGAGGTGGGGGAAGAAATTTAAAAGAAAGGAAAGGAAAATATTTAGAGTAGCTTCAAGGTAATTGGTTCAAATAACCTTCCCCAAAATGGGGAAGTAGAAAAAGTTTTCCACCTCTCACTCAATGTCTTCTTCCTCTCTCCAGAGACTCCTCTCCCTGGGCTCTAGCCTTTCTCAATGTTAATTACACTCTGCCCAGGCTCCTGGATATCTCAAAAGTGACCTCTCCCAGGACCATTTTCATTTTGAAGGAAGACTTTTGAAGAAGGAAAGGGCTTTAAGAAAAGGAGGATGCAGATTCTATCTTTTAATACATGGGTCTGCCTTGATCCAAATAAGAGAAGTCTGGTGGAGACTCTGTGATTTTAGTGTTCTGTCACCCTTGACTTTCCTAGGTGTTTTATCTTCATAGAATTATTGTCTTTAGTCTCCTCTGAAAGTTTCTTACCAGGGAAGCATGAAAGAAATGCCTGAGCCAAATAATTTTGACACGTACTTTGCAGGTTGGCATTTGTCTAGATTTGGGTACAGATAAAGGTAAATCACATAAACTTTAAATCCAGTGTGATATAAGAGGAAGATATTATGAAATATTAGTGTCTTAAAAACAATTTTCAAAAAATAATAGATATTTGGGGAAAATAAAACAAAAGCAAATCCTTGTTGTAAGGTGTCTGGAATCCTGGCTGTATAAACAGGCAATTTATTTACTTTCTCAGTTTTCTTATCTATTCAATAGGAGATTGGAGCAGGTGATCTTCAGGGTCCCTCCAGTTCTAACATAGGATACTGGAGTTGGTGTTAAAAGGCCTGGGGGATCATTCTCTCCTCCTCTATAACCTTGAGCTGCTCACTTATCTGACCCTCAGTTTTCTCATCTGCCTTTACAGTGGAGACTGCCCACAGAAGGTCATCTGAATAATCTCTTGATTGTCAACGTAAAGAGAATCCCAGAGAGACAGACTCTCGAAAACAAATGAGATTAATTGGGAATAGCAGAGATGTGCAATGTAGGGTATGCATGCTGTAATGGATCATAGGCATACCCAGGGAGGTGTGGGCAAAGGGGGATCTTTTAAAGATAGAAAAGAAGACCACATAAATTGCTTTGAAACAAGGTTCACAGGTCACAGAAGCTCATTGCAGGAACTGGCATTTGCTCATTGGTGGAGACAGCTGTTGCTAGGTAAGTTATCCTTGTGCCAGGTGGCTTCTCTGAAATACTGTAATCTTGAGGAAGTTCTTGCAATGATCCCTATTACCAGTCTACATGCAGGAATGGCTTGTGACAAGATCTGTTAATCAGCATTCATGCATAAGAGCTCCCCCTTTATGGCC